GAAAATCAATACATTTTTGTCCTTTAGCCACAATACAAAACAAATAGCCAAGTCAGAACTACTGGAGGATTACCCATAAATTTAATGTTTGTGTGAATTAATATTTGAGAGCTCGCATAGTCAACTTTTGTTGGATTTAGTTCGTTTTACAGTCCCGTTTTGTTCAGGATCGTATTCATAGATCCGTAGTTATCTGGCTGTACTTTAAAAAAAAAAATTTTAAAATTCAACGGGCGGTACAAATATTCTTCGGTCAATATCAAATTTATCCTCATTTCTACTGATGTTTTACTTGATTAAATGTCACACGACAATTTTGCAATATCAATTCAGGAACAGCATTAATTGTTTCTGAAAAAACAACAATTAAATTATACTGACCACATACTTCAAAAAACGATTAAGATGATCAACTCTTGTTGAGATCGTATCTCAATTAAGTCTGAAATTGTTGAAGGCTGCTTCAATAAACCTTTGTAAAGTGTATAACATTGATTATTTTGTTTTGAATTACTCTGTTTACCCAAGAATAGGTTTTTTTTTTCAATAAATTGGTGACAAGTTAGAGAATCATCGTGAGAAAAGAATTTGTCCACAAATGATTTACACAGCATGTACTCCAAAAACGACTACTCAAAATGTATTTAATGAATAGAAGGCAACAGTCAAAAAAAAATTGTGCTATTTTCCAAGTTTCGAGTTAGCTGATCGGAAAAGGCTTCACTTAATAATCTTATGATTTTAAAGATCTTTGTATTCCTTAGCTCTTAAATATGTTCTGAAGAACTATTGCATAAAGGAACTTACATTTGTATTATCCCGGGTATTATAGGATTTATATAAATACTAAAAATAAGTTTCCGGATGAAGCATTCAGTGATAATTATTAGTTACTTTTATAAATCTACACATTGTCATCGGGCATAGCTGCCCGTTTGGCAAATAAAGCCGAGTCGGATTGGTTAATATATATTTTTGTAATTTCTATAGGCGTATTTATTGTTTTGTTTTATTTAATTTAATATTTATTGTTATTATTTTTTTTGTACAGCGACTGCTCTGTTTGTCGTTTAAATAAATACAAAAATTTTAACGCTATGTCTAAATATGAACAGCCATGTTGAAGATAGCTATACTTCAGGGCTTCCCGATGCAAAATATTTCCACAAATCAAATCAGAAATGTAGCATATCGCACCTCGAACAACTAAAAGAAATGAACACATAATAGAATTGTATATGTCGCCACATTAAATTTTATGTAGATTGCACGAACATCAAATTTTGTCTGCAGACGTACTATTCTGGTTGCTACTGAAATGTTCCGCGCAAAGAAATGGCAACCGCAAAAATTCAATAGAAAATACACTGAGAAGAATGGAATGGGGGGAGGCAAGGAAACGATGTTTTAGTATCAAACGCCGACTAAAAACTGTGCCAAGTTCCTTGCGCCAGTTATACAATGCGACAGCCAAACATACAAACCTATGAGTATATATGTATGTATGTATGTACATATACGTGTGTATATACATTGTATATACAAGCATAGATACATAGAGTATATCGTATTTGGCCGAAGAGCAAAACTGGCAACGAGGCCGGGCCAATTACTAAGAACGCAAAAGAATCGAATATAAAATTATTGAAACCATCAAATGGCAAGCGAGCTGCAATTTATCAAAATGTTGGCGCCTTGAACATAACATATTTGGGGCTTGAGTAAGCAGCTACAAAATCAAGGAAATCCATATGAGTGTAGAGGGCGCGTCCGGTTTTTGAACTTCAACAAGGCCAAGTGCTTACACAACTCAACTGAACTGAACTCAACTCAACTAAACACAAATAAAGCACAATGTGCTACAAAATATTTTCGTGTGTTTACAAAAGTTCGCGGGGCTGCTGTTAATCTCAACAAATCTCAAAATACTGGGAGGACAACCAGCCTTCTCGAAATCGGGCCGCTCGACACTTGGCACACGTTGGCGTTCAACGTTCAACGTATTTTTAAAATCGATTAGAATGAAAAAATCATCAAGTAGTTGGCATGCGCCAAAATTCAATTTCAATTGCTGGGGTGGGGACGAGATCGGCGACCAAGCTTTTCAAGAGGAAGACAAATGGCACGTCATGCTGGGACGGCGGGTGCCCGGGTGGCCGGGATGGCCATTTTGAAAGTGTCAGGCGATTGAAAAATCGTCACAGACAACGACGAAAAAGACTACGAGCGCATCAATTGATATTTATTCATTGGCCCCATAGTGGGGAGAAGCGCTACGGCGGGGTCTGGTAATTTCGAAGGCGCGTTGCCAGCACACCTGAATCATTGCGCCTAGGTGAGATCTGGGTGTGTGACTGAGGCCGTCATTGATGGCGCTGACATTGTGCGTTGGCATTTAGAAAGTAGATGATGGGCATGGGATTTTAAGAAAATCGATTGGTGACGAAAATCGTAAAAACACTTAACAAAACCTTTAATCAATACTTAAGGAAGGTGTTCAGCCTTATACTATCAGTATCATACAAGGATCACTACCGAATTGAAGAGATGCTCGGCAACAGAACTACATTTTGCTCACGGGACTGGATTTCTAAGCAATTATGTCAAAATTATCGTATCGTCTCGTACACGCGTATGATATATACTTGTAGTATATAAGTATTTTTTAATTATTTGCATATGTTTATTGATTTCCCTAAAAGAGAATATTTCCTCATTTTTTCAGTCGAACCATACAATTTCAGATCATTACTCGTAGAATTCAAAAATATTGGAGTGAAAAACATTTTCAATAATTCATACCTACCAGCACGAGCACAAAAGAACCACTAAGCTACTTATGTAGACCAAATTAACTTTATAATAAAATTGATTAACTAATTATCTCTATTTTAAGTGAATTTAGATTTAAAATGTTTCGACAATACCATTTTATTGAATCAGATTTGCGAATTGGTGCAAGGGAAAACTTTTTTGTTATTTCTAGATTTTGTCAGTTTTCGGTGGTCTTATTTAACATTTAATTTACTTTAAATTTCATTGATCTAAAAGTTTTTCTATTTATTATTTTTATACTCTGTACATGAAATGTACAAGAGTATATTAGGTTTGCGCGACCTGAAAAATGTAACAGGCAGAAGGAGGCGTGGCAGACCCCACAAAGTATATATATTCTTGATCAGCGTGACAAGACGAGTCGATCTAGCCCTGCCTGTCCGTCCGTATGATCGCCTATATCCCAGAGACTATAAGAGCTAGGGACCCCAAATGTTAGTCCCAGATGCCTTATGTGAATACGAAGAAAATGAATTTCCCTCCCTCCCCCCTCTCCCATGCAAATCGCGATTTTCTCTAACTCCCGTAATTCTTGGAATTTCGCACTAAAATTTTGCAAATACCCCCAATTAGTTATTATGTGTCCTTATGCCAAGTTTCACTATAATAGACCGATTTAACAAGAAGTTATAGCCATAAATATATTTGCTGCTGCAGCGCTGCTCAAGCGCTGCTCAAGCGCTGCCCAAGCGCTGCCCGCGGTTGTTGTTGATGCTGGTGCTGGTTGTTGATGCTGGTTGACTGCGAACATGCTTACACAGACACGAATAGATGCGCATAGGCATACATACACTCACACAGACGCAATTGCTATGTAAATGTGCAATTATACACCATTTACGTGAGTTCGAATACCGAGAAGGCAAAATCGATCAACATTTTTATACTCTGTACATGAAATGTACAAGAGTATATTAGGTTTGCGGGAGCTGAAAAATGTAACAGGCAGAAGGAGGCGTGGCAGACCCCACAAAGTATATATATTCTTGATCAGCATGACGAGACGAGTCGATCTAGCCCTGTCTGTCTGTCTGTCCGTCTGTCCGTCTGTCCGTCCGTATGAACACCTGGATCTCAGAGACTATAAGAGATAGAGACACCAAATTTTGCACGAAGATGCGTTATGTGTGTATTCTATACGAGTTTGTTTTATTTTTTTGATTTTCCCCCCCACTTCCCCCCTATGGGGGTTTTCCCGATTTTCCATTCGTATAATCGCATATATCTCGGAGACTATAAGACCTAGGCACACCAAATTTTAGTCCCAGATGCCTTATGTGAATACGCAGAAAATGTATATTTTGGAATTCCCCTCCCTCCCCCCTCTACCCAGCAAATCGTAACTCCCGTAATTCTTGGAATTTCGAACTAAAATTTTGGAAATACCCCCAGTTGGTTATTATGTGTCCGTATGCCAAATTTCATTATGATAGACCGATTTAACAAGAAGTTATAGCCATAAATATATTTGCTGATGCAGCGCTGCTCAAGCGCTGCCAGCGGCTGTTGTTGATGTTGCTGTTTAGTTGACTGCGAAAATGCTTACACAGACATGAATAGATGCGCATAGGCATACATACACTCACACAGACGCAATTGCTATGTAAATGTGCAATTATACGTGAGTTCGAATACCGAGAGAGGTAAAATCGATCAAATTTTTTTTTTATTTTCTTAATTTTTTTATTTTCTATAATTATTGTAAACATATGTACAGAGTATTTCAAAGTCGGGACACCCGACTTTAGCTTTTTTACTTGTTTATTTTATTTATGTCGATATAGAAGGAAAATATATAAAAATTATAAAAAGCATCTTATAATCTAGAAAAGCCTAAGAAGGAGAAATGTAATCAAATTATAATAATATCTAAATTTTAGAAATAAATTTTAGATCTACGCAGCTTTTAAGCATATTATTATTATATTCAACAAATCCAACTTAGGTTCATTTTAAGGCGAAATATTGCGCCACTATAATGAAGGTATGGTCGAATTCGTATACCCTTGTCTATTAACGTCTGTGACTACACTTGGCTGTGGATTGAAGCACAATTGACCCCCTCCCCCCACGAGACGGGTTCATTATTAGATATGAATGTTATTTTGAAATCAAACTAAAACATATCCTGAAATCTTTTTGTATGTTTAACATCGTCTACTTACGATTCATTTTCCACTTTGATGAGCGTGGTATCGAAACGTTGCTGGACATAAGCCCAGGCGCCTTGATTCTTGTGCTCCTCCTGGACCCACATCAGCTCGGCATTTTTATATAATTCGATTTGCTGGCTGACTAAATCGTAGGGGAAGGGACAAATCTGTGCAGATGGTTTTAAGTAAATCGCGCAACCCCTTCTGAGAGAAATGTTATCTACTAACCTGCTCAATACGAACAATGGCCGCAGTTTCTTCCTGCTGATGATCCTCGCGTTCCTTCGCCAGATCGTAATAGATCTTGCCTGTGCAAAATATTAACTTTGTTACGCATTCGGGCTGTTGAGCCGCTTTACCCGTGTCGGGTATGAGACGCTTGAACGCACTGCACTCGTTAAAGTCACGGAATGGACTGCGTGCCATTGGATGACGTAGCACGGACTTGGGTGAAAAATTTACCAATGGCTTGCGAAATCCAAAAGCCACCTGCCGACGCAGCGCGTGGAAGAAATTGGCCGGCGTAGATAAGTTAGTCACAATCCAATTAGTCTCCATGATCTGGCGCGCGACAAAGTCGCAGTCTGTTGTGTCCGGATAGACATCGGGATCATCGTCGCTCAGCTGAAGGAACCGCTCCATGCGGCCGGATGAATGTTCGGGTCCCATGCCCTCCATACTATGCGGCAGCAACATCACCAGACCGGATTGTCGAACCCACTTTGTTTCGCCGCTGCATATGAAATTGTCAATAATAGTCTGGGCAGTGTTCGCAAAGTCTCCGAATTGCGCCTCCCAGATGACCAACGAATTGGGATTGGCCATAGAATAGCCGTGCTCAAAGCCAAGGATGGCGCACTCGGACAGCGAACTGTTGGAGACGGTGTATGGCGCCTGGTCGGGATACATGTGTTCCATGGAGTTATATCTAGCCTTGTCCTGCGTCTGATGATGGAATACGTGATGACGATGCGAGAAGGTGCCGCGCTCCACGTCTTGCCCGGAAAGTCGAACGTGAACTCCATCCCTGAGCAGCGAACCAATGGCAAATGCCTCGCCCAGCGCCCAATCGGCCATCTTTGATTTGACCATTTGCATCCGCAGAGCCAGTATGCGTTTAATTCCCCTGTAATTTAAATCAAGAATAAGCTGAAACACCCATAGTACCCGAAGATCCTAAATTCTTTATGAAAGTCCTCTAAGACGGAGAGGGAAAGAAGGCTATTGCTCGCTTCACTCACTTGTGCAACACAAAATTGTGCTCCGGTGGCGGTGGACTTGCGAAAATCCTGCCAATGTGGTTTAATGTCTTCATGGCTACACCCGTGGGGCATATCTTTAAACGGTCACGCCCCTCGAAGAAACCAGACCAAGGCGAGTCAATCCAGCTGGCATACTGCGGGTTATATCAAGACAAAATATTTATGAAGGATATATAGGAACTTGTGTATCAGCATCAGTGGTGAACCGACGTTATGGATTAGGTAATACACAATTTATAACTCACCTTGAATGTCTTCATCTTCTTGGACTCCACCCAAGCATCTTCGCATATCTTTTCGTATTTGGCGTTCATGCTCTTGTACTCAGCCTCCTGAATGATTCCCTGTTTAATTAATTTTTCAGCATATAGCTGTACGCAAGGTTTCAGTTCGCGAATCCGCTGGTACATCAGGGGTTGTGTAAACATTGGCTCATCAGCCTCATTGTGTCCGTTGCGGCGGTAACCAACAATGTCGATGACCACGTCCTTGTGGAACTTGGCACGCCAGTCGGTGGCGACACGTGCACAGTGCACGCAGGCCTCCGGGTCATCGGCGTTCACGTGAAAAATGGGGACATTCAGCACGCGCGCAACATCCGTGCAGTAGCGCGAGGACCGGGAGAATCTTGGATCAGTCGTGAATCCAACCTGATTGTTGGTCACGATGTGTATGGTGCCGTGAGTCGAGTAGCCTGGCAAATCGGACATATGGATGGACTCGTATACGATGCCCTGGCCACAAAACGACGCGTCTCCATGTATTGTAATGGGGAGCACTTTGGTGCCAGTGGCATCGCCCCGATAATACATTTCCGCTCTAGCTTTCCCAAGCAATACGGGATTCACATATTCCAAATGCGATGGATTGGCTACGACTGTGATGCGTACATTCTTGCCGGTCCTTGCATTCAGACGCTCCGTAAATAATCCCAAATGATACTTCACATCGCCCGAGCCGGAATCGGTGGCCTTCAGACCATGGAACTGTGACAGAATGTCAGCAATGGGCTTCCGACAGATATTGGCCAGGACATTTAGTCGTCCGCGATGTGCCATACCTATAAAAACGGACTCTACGCCATTGTTTGTGGACCGATCGATAATTTCCTTCATGATAGGTATCATAATATCGCAGCCTTCCAAACCGAAACGCTTTTCAGAGCTGAACTTTTTTGCTAGAAAATTCTCAAAGCCCGTCGAGCGTGTTAATCTCTCCAGTACAAGTTTCTTCTCATTGGGAGAGAATCGGACTGCACCGGGTTTCTCGAACCGCTCGCGCACCCAGTTCGTCTTGTTCAGAGAAGTAATTTGCATATATTCCACACCAATGGGGCCACAGTACACCCGCTCCAGACGATCAAGAATTTCCCTGCGAGAGTATAAGTTAGATATCTTATGCAATTAACTGTCGTACCCACTTTAAGGACAGAAAGTGTTCATCACCGCCAATCATAGTGGAGGAGGGCAGCTTGAACGTAGCATTTAAATCATCTGGTAGGGGTTTTACAAGTACGTTTTTAAATATTATATGAGAGTGCAAGTTCCAGTAGGGAACTTACTGAATACATAGGAAAAGTGTTGGCGTAACACCGCTTCGGTGGCCTGACGCTTGCGACCATCACCGTTATCACTACCGCTGTATGCTCCCACAATCCCTAAGGGGTCTAGATCGGCAGCTAGATGGCCACGCGTCTGATACGCCCTGATTATGGCCTGAACCGTCAAGTGATCGTCTATATAGCCCCAGTCAGCGGTGGGTGTTGGATTGGGCGCTGCAGCATTTTGATTAGATTGTGTTGTCGCGATCGATCTTGGTGAGCTAGCTTTGGATGCTGCCTTGGCTGGATTGGCTGCAATGGCCGGCTTGGCTTGCATTGTATTTGTGGAGATGCTTCGTGGCTTTCCACTAAAGTAGGCATCCCAAGACTAGTATACAAATACCAGACGCAAATCTATATTTGTTTTCAGAAAAGGTTTCACCAGACCTCATACCTGATCAACAGATTTTGGATTTTTCTTCCAACTCGCATATAGACCCTCAATATAGTTTACACTGCTGCCATTGGCAAAGCTTTCCTGATCCGGTTTACCGCTATTATCCTTATAGAGTGCAGCGATAGTTTTCATGTCTCGTCGAAGTGCCCTCGGCAAATTATGGAGAACAATCTGTGACACATTGTTTTTTGCTAATAGTATATTCGTAATATGTGTGTGGTGAATGGTACGAGAAGCGACGGCCATATCTCAATTCAGCCGATTTCCAAAACCAAAAGAATGTTTTAAATATTCATTAATATGCAAAGCGAAAATAATTTATTCAAAAGGCTTGAAATAATAAATTTTTTTTCTGACATTATTTTAATTTCAATCAGGCAAAGATTTTCTCAAAAATGTACTTGTGATTAAGTAGAAAACTCAGTTTTTTGGCTCATCCATTTTCTCTTCCTTGGGTGCATCTACTTGTTTTACTTGTTGCTGCAAGCCACCCAATTCTTCTTCAAATATTTTTTTTTTACCAGCGTCTAGTCGTGCCTTGGTATCACCGCGCTTTTCTTTAAATGTGCTACCATCTTTGGCCACCTTGGGATCTTGTTCCTTGTCCTTAAGAAATTTGTTTATATTGAAACTACTATCATCTGTTTCCGCGGATAATGGGTTCCAAGTTTTTGCGGCTTTCTGAACCTTTTTAGGTTCTTCTAAAAATTTATTTACATGCGCATTAATGCCCTTTCCATCATCGCTGCTGGGTCCGCTACTATTCTCGCACGTTGCGACTATATTTTTCTGCGATTCATCCTCAACCAGCTGAAAATAACTTTTTTGATTAGTTGTAGGTAAAGTTTTGTCGCAAGCCGCGGTCTTGCAGACTGCTTCCACTTTTTCTGATAACATTTGAATAACTTGAGTGCTTGTCATGGGTGTAGGACCTAAATTGTTTCCCACAATTGTGATGTTCTCCATGTCATTTCCTATTTCAATAGCCGGTGCTATCGTACTTTGCTGTGAACATTCCAATACGTTCTCGATATTAGCATTTCCCTCATCGGTTTGAGCTTTACTGATTTGTGAGAACGGGACATGAAATGGACTAGTATTTTCTTGATACATTGGTATTTGGGTGGCAGACTCAACCGATTCGATAAATGCGTTCTCCTGTGGTGGGTCCTTTATAATGGGAATAGATGTTGATTGAATATTCTGTATTTCTACAATGGTCTTCGAGTATTCTAAGGAAGCGTTCTCAGTTGGTTTAAATACATCAACCATATCAGCTATGGCACCTCTTTTCTTATCGATTACTTGTTCTTTTGTGTTAAACCTAATCTGGTCGTCTCCTTGTTGTTCATTCTGCGGTTTTGTCTGTTCTTGTGCAGGTGAACTTTCCACAACCGATTTGGCAGGCTCATCAGCGCTAGTCTTGGATTGACGTGCGGCTTTTATAAGATCCACAACCTCACCGATTGATACCTTCTCGTGGTTAAGGATTTCCCGGAAGTATCGGTCCCATGACTAATATTTTCACCATTGAGAGATGTAGTTCTTTGTTCTAGAGTACTTAAAAGCTTTGGCTTACCTTGTCGACTGATTTTGTGTTCTTTACCCATTTTGAGAAAAGATGTTCCATGTATCTAGCATTTGTGCCGCTTTCAAAGCAATCTCTATTAATGGCGTCTTTTGGACATGTGGTCGATCTTGATGTGTCCTGCTCGCCCTTTTTCGAATCAACATCACTTTCTTTGCCGGTACTAAATCGTTGGAGCTGAAAACGTTGTGTCGAGGACGCCAAAATAGAAGCAATTTTGAATTTTAATAACGCTGCCGAGGACATATTGCCTAAATATATGAAAGGGAGTTGAGTGTTAGAAGTTCGATAATAAAACACAATTTTTACATCTAACGGATAATTCAAAACGTGTTTTTTCATATTAATAATAATTTTTATCGATGTGGCAGCACACCAGGGCGAAATAGCACTCGTTACATCACGAGAGGTACATTTCTAATATTGCCCATCCCTGGAATCGATGTTCATTGTACAACTACAATAATTTGTTGATTAATTGTTGAAAACACGAGGGATATATCACGCAGAGATATGAATCAATTTCATACGCCCTCCTTTGGTGATGAAGTATTTGAGATGAATACTGAAACGACGGCAGTGTCAGCGGAGCCCCTTCATCAAAGCGCTGTAAGTGCCATTAGCGCAGTTGCGATGGACAACAACCACACGTTTATATAAAAAATTGTATGCAGAGGACAGACATCAGAATAGTCGAGTCGAGCCAAGCCTGCTATGTCGAAGTTCGGTTTGCATCTGTTGAGGCCACCTTATATACATAGTTCGATCGACGACTCTTTCATACCTCAGTGCTTGACCAAATTGTATATGAATATCTGCACTTCCACCGCTCCATCGATAATGATGTTATAATGAGGGACCGCCAACGGAGCGCACCAGTGACATGAGTCAATAAGCTGCGCGTTGAACGCTTTTTCTATGCGTATGGAATAAATTCTGTTGTTTGTTTAGGTGTCTGTCTGACTGGACATACACAAATACATGCATGTGGACTTTACAAACGCACACCCGGCAACGGTTGGGCTGCGTGTGCCGTTATCGAAACAAGGCAGCAGCTACAATAACAAGAGCTGGCAGAAAGCGCAAGACGCTTATCACCAAACTACAACACATACACATGTATGTACATACATATATGCTAGCCAATATGCTGGCGCGCAATCAACCGAGCGATGTGCGCGCTAATGCCGACGCCACTGGCACACACATAAGCATCCACAGCTGCCCAATATATATGCATAGAACACATGTAGCTGGACTTGCGGCCACCCGATTGCTTTAGTTTAGTTTTTCGCTCTGTGATTTGATTTATAATTCTATTTGTAGCGCGCATCAGATGAAGAAGTTACTAGTGAGCGAGCGGGGGCTAATAAAAAGTAAAGAAAACGCTAATAGACCGCATCACTTTTATTTTCGTTTCAGTCTCGGAGAATGCTTAGCCTGGATCACTCCACGTTGAACGGCGACGTTGAACACGATCGCGATCATATTGTCTATGAGAGCTCTACAAATCATTTGGACACGTATGGAACAGCTTCTAATGTGATTACTCAACCACAGCACACGCTGGGTCAGGCATCAACGCTCCTGGCGACACAACAACAACCTCAGCAGACAATCAGTGCTGGCGCACCTGTAAAGCCGCTAGCTCCCTATGCACTTTTCTTTCGAGATACTGTGAAGGCAATAAAGCAATCTAATCCTGCATGTTCTCTAGAAGAAATCTCAGCCATAGTCAACACCATGTGGGACGCGCTCGACGATACGCAAAAGAATCGATATAGCCAAATGTACGAAGAGGAAAAACGGGAATATTCCCGACAATTACGCGATTATCGGCAGCAAATATCGGAAGCGGACCTCCAGACAAACCCAATAGGGCACATTCCCAAGTCCACAACAGAATCTCAAGCGATTGTCACCACTCCCACTCAAACAATAGTAGTCACCAATCCCGCCGAGGCTCCCAAAGTGGCTGAGCCTACAGCACCGCCAGAGCAAATTCAATTGCTTACCGAGGCAGCTGCCGTGCAGAAATGTACGCGAGAACAGTGCAATAAGCCGGCTATCATAAATCCTGACTGGGAGGACGAGTATTGCAGCAACGAGTGTGTCGTCATACATTGTCGGAATGTGTTCAGCGAATGGGCGCGTTCACTTAAGAGTTCACCGTCGTAGCATATTCCATATTTCCTAGATCCACTTGTAGCTAATAATTAGCTTTTAATATTATTAAGTGCGCAGATTAGGAATCACACAAAATGTACGTACGCTATCGTTATCTACGTACGTTATCGTTACGAGTTGTTGCCACAAATCAGCTGTTTAGAACGCCAACAGCGTTGCCAACTCGAAGAAAGTTTGAAAGACGGCAGCGCATAACGTATGTAATGTTTTTATTTAATAATATAACTTTTAATAAATACACACATTTATTACTCTCTCTTGAACTTCATTATATATCATTGCCGTTGCTTACAAAATACTTTTTATTTATAAAATAATTCAAATGTATAAATAAACTTTCATTAAATAAAATAATGCGTGCTTTCGCAAGTCGTTGAAAATGATCAACAGTATAAAATGTGTTAGCTTACAGTTGTTTTGTTTTGTAGAAAGCATGGGCATGCATCAGGCGTTTACAATAATAAGCAGAGACATCTTGTTAAATGCAGGGATGCATAAATATTTCCAATAATAAAAATCTATTATTATTTAAAAGTAGACAGTTTGGGTTAAAAGCACTTTCCAAATTAGCATTTAACATAAACAAAAAGCGCAAAATAAATAATATCACCAAATTTGTTTTCATGTGTTTTGTCTTGACATTGCCTCGGTCCACAAAACGGCAAACAGCCTTGCTCCATACAGCTATTGTATGTAAGTATGTATGTATATTTAAACATTAATGTTTAGTTAATACGCATTAAGTATTGCGGATAGATAAACGACATAACTTTGTATAATTGCCATTATTTTAGTGGGTGTAGGTGTGGGTGTGTTTGCTTTTGTTGTAGTAACATAGATTTATTGTAAATTGTTTCCTTTGCTCGCAACTACATGCTATTATTGACTAGAGTTGCTTTATGGGACGTGTATGTGTCATCAAACGGTTTCATCAACCGAATTGGATGCGATCTGTAAAAAACAAGTGGTGGGTATTAACAAATTATAGGCTATGTCGAGTATTAAATTATTACATACCTCGTATAATATGTGGGTATATCATTTGTTTGCTCACTCCACAATTTGCAGCTCACTAACATCTACATCTGCACTCTCTTTGCAAAAGGTGCTCGAGCGCTCCAGCTTTGACTCTACCCGCTGCATAGGCTCATCCAGCGTGGCATCGATCAGCAAATCTAGCTTTTGTTTAACAGCGTGTGCCGTTTTATAGACGCCATTGACGCCATTGGTGGATGCCATTTTGGCAGACTGTTGTGGCCTGTGGCTCAGGCCGTTCGTCGTCGTCGTCATCGCTGTTGTTGTCGCCTTCTTCAGCTGCAATGTATTGGGCCGTCTTGTGGGTATGTTTGAAGGCAAGCTATTACGCAGATTGTGCTGTTGCAGCATATTGGTAACGGCAGAATGAGAGGACGATCGCAGAGGTCCAGTTGAAGCTCGCTGACGGGAGCCACGCTCATCGCCTGAACTGTTTGCAGCGGCCTGCTGTTGCTGTTGTTGTTGCTGCTGCTGGAGCTTGTTCTTTTCTGCTCGCTTGGCGAGAATCTCCCGTGATTTTGCTGATAGGAAACTATGGCGTCCTTTTGGAGGTACAGCATCGCCTGCCGGTACAGAAATTGAGCGCTGCTTGAAGAGATCGCGCGTTGAAAGCGTCGAGCTGACAGAGGAGAGGCGACTAGTAGCCGATTTGGTCGTATGTACGGAGCTGGGACTGGAGCCGTTGGAGACGGTATTGTGCTGCTGCTTTAGCTGACGTGTACTCTTGTTCCCTACCTTGACCTTTGGTGCTGTTGCTGCCGTGGTCGCCTCTTTGTTACGATTATTGAGCTGCTGCACGCGAGCCAATTTACTGCTGCCAGTCAGGGATTCGTGTGAGATCGTTTTATTCGTTATCACTGAACTCTTCATGCTCTCGGTCAGCGAGTCTACATTGAGATCGGATGCGTAGCGCTGTTCGTGATCGGCGGGCTTACAGGTGCGTGGAGCGCTCTTGGCGCGACGTGCCGGTGAAGCCAGACTATCCATGGACAAATTGGTGGATTTGTTTCCAATGCCATTTTTAACACGGCGCGCTGCAGCTGGGCTCGAGTGACGCGAACTGTCGCTGGAAGAGATGTGCAGTCCTTTGGCTGGCTTATTATGTCCGGTCGGTATGCTCGAGCTGGTGGCGCTACGTATCGGTCCCGTACTCTTGTTGCTGCTGTTGTTGGCCGACACTGCACGCGGCTTTCGCGGCTCCAGATAACGCGGTCGGACTTCAGACAGGCGCGCCTGACTCTTGGCTACCGCTGGTGCTGCTTTGGGCTCAGACTCTGTCATCGCTCCCGCTGCCTTTTTGTGCGCTACAGGTGGCGCCTCAGATTGCGTGCGTCGATGCATGTTGAGCTGTAGACTGTGTCGTTCAGGGGCAACTTGTGAGCTGGACCGTTGCGTCTGCGGTACATAGGCGCGAGAGTTGGACTTCAGCAGTTTACCTAGAAAGTAGCAATACAATTTATAGTCATATTTGATTTGTGCAGGATTATCAGTTAAACTTACCGCTAGTCTCTCTCGGCTCGTGATTGGCCTGCACACCACGTTCCGCTGTCTGCACATTACCCGCTTCCAACGTTTGCGTAGCCTTGTAAAGTTGAGTCTCTTGCGCATGCGCACGTTTCGATTGTGCCTGTATGGCTAGTTTGATTTGCACCAGATCCTGACTCCGTGTATTCCCGCCAAAGGAGAAGGCCTTGCCAATAGGCTTGCTATTTCGCTTGAGATCGAGCGGCTCCGTCAGTCGTGCCAGCGTTTGAATCTTCTTGCGCAGATCAAGGTCCATACGCTGCCAGGCGGTTACTCGCATAGCACGCGAACATTGCCGTATTAGACACTGCTCAACGGCAGAGAGTAGCGCGCTCACTAGTCGTATGTAATCCGGCTCCCAGTCGAGTTCTTCTTCCTGCAGACCCTGCAGTTCCTTTGCTAGCTCCCCCAAATTCACAGGCATTTGTATAATTTTGGCCTGCAGCACGGTATTGAGGCGTGTCACACGCTGGTAGCTGCGACAAGCCTGGTCAGGCGTCAGGGATGAAGCCGTATGCAGAAGCACACCCTCCAGCCGAGGAATGTGGCGACTGCGGTCGTGTCCGAGCGAGAGGAATGCATCACTAGCTATCAAACTGGCAAAATGATCGCCCACATAGGCATAGGCGGCATCCAGTATGTCGCGAACTAATTGCTCACAGACGTGACCCCACCGATAGGCGGAAAGCTGGGATAGCAAGTGGTCGCAGTCGAGCACTGTATCCAGCACCGTTTCAGACGTCTATAAAATGATGAAAACAAAGTCATTGAAGTCAATTGGCGAATAGGTACAAAATGACTAATCACTACTTACCAAATAAGCGACAATCTGTTGCCGGCAGCGTCCTAAAATATCCGGGGGTAGTTGCGAAAATTGTCGGGTCGGCCAGACCTTCAGGTAGTGCCGACATGTCCAGCGCAGGCATTTACGATAGAGATCGTCTAGAGCATGATTAAGTGCAACGGGCAGCACCTGCAAAATGCCATCGATGCAGCCAGAGCACGGTTTATGAAAATTGTGGCAGTAGTTCGTCTTAAGTGCGTGCGATGTAACCTCCTTGAGCCCCTCGAGGCCCAGTAGATCGGCCAATGCAGCTAGCTCCATGAGACTAATGCCATCAGGTGGATGGGAGGCACCCGAGTAAATATGACAGAGTGCAAAGTGAACCGCTGAGTAAGAGTAGCCCTGTAATGAGACGACACTTTGGGCTCCATGGCCGGCCAACATGGCTGCAAAATATTGACAGCGGGAGCGAAGAATACACTTATGCGCACGGATTCGGCGCCCGTGCACCTCTACCACCATATCCGTGGCGATCTCCTGCAGAAACATCTTCAGCAGATCCTCGCCTAGACGGCGGGGTTGTCGGCAAGAAATGGAAGACTCATCCATGGCTGAGCGACTGAAGCTAGAAGCTAAACTAGAGTCGGCACTGAGATCGGTTTGTATGTAGTCCAATTGGTGTTGCTGCTGATCCAACGCCATGTCATTGGGCAACGAATTCGAGAACTCTTTGGAGAAATTTGGGAACAAGCGAGAGAGGCTACGCAAATTATCCACAGAGCTAGCGAAGGTCTGAATGTTGCTGCCACCTGTGGAGCGGGTCATAGCCCAGGAATGTGGACGCGTTTTGGACGCGTCGTCACGATAAAGACGATTTAGCTGCGAAGAGCGATGGTTTCCCACGCTCTTGCTCATGGCATCAGGTGAGTTCAACTCATGCTTCACGGGCTTGTCCATATCTGACAGCTTTACAAAATTTTCCGGTTTAGAAGCGCCAGTTTGTGCTTCAGCATGCTCATTGACCGTCTCCAGCAGCTGCTTCTGCTTTTCAATTGTGGCATGCAAAGTTTCCATGGTGTGCCCATTGTTTAGTGCGCTCTTCTTAGGTGACGAAGTCTCCTTTGTTTCTATAATGGTCTCCATGATGATAGTAGAGGTACGGTTAGAGCTACTGCTTAACTGCAGTGGTTGTAGTGCGGCTTCCCTCAATGCCAGTTCTTCATCCTGTTGGAATGTAAGATCATCCGTGTCGGTGGTTGACGCTGGCGACCTATCCTTAGAGAGTACGCCTTCGGTGATAGAGGCGACGCTGCTTTTGTCAAATGTTTCATTGATCTGCACATCGCGACGTCGCTTCTTGATACGTGTACCATTGTCTGCTTGCTCACCGTCTTCACGTTCACCGCCGGACATGGAATTGCGTGCAGAAGCATTTGAACAACTGCTTAAGCCTGACTTAGATCCGGTGTACTCATCGTAGGGCGACAAAGAGCTGTCCACCGAGAGTGATGAAGCCTTCGAGATAATCGGAAGCTTATCAATGATGCTCATCAAGCCGGCACCCTGATCCTTGCCGGTGTCGCCGTTCGCTGTAAGACTAATAGATCGCTTGTAGTCCCCTATCGGCGGTTCACCATTGGTGCTATTAATATTGTTGTTACCCCACGAGTGTCTTTTAGTGGGATCGTTTTGCTGCCTCTGTTGCTGCGAAAGACGCCTTAACGCTGCCACAGTCAGGGGCGGATCCAGATTGCACTTGTAGTCCAATGATTTGCTTTCGCCCGCCATCTCTTCCTCTACTTGAGCACGCTGTGTGGCGCTCTTGGCCATCAACGTTTCCGTGGAACTGGCACTTGACTTCATGGCGTCCTCGCTACGTCGTTGAGCCGTGGTCAATGAGCTAGAAAGACGCTGGGCAAGATTGAAGGGTTCCTTGCGAGCACTGGGCCGCGGTTTCTTGTCACTGCCAAAATCGATGAACATGCTGAAGATGTTTTTCTTGTCAGCAGCGGTAGTGGCCGACTCCTCCGTTTGCTCAGGAGATTTATGGGTAGTATCCTTAGTTTGCAAATCGCTTTGAGAGAGATTCACAAAGAAGCCCGCTGACTTGGGCGCAGTGTACGATTTGCTTAGCGGCTGTGCATCTACCGGCTTCCTGTCCATGTCGTCCAGAGAAACGTAGAAACCGCAGCCACTTTTGTGCGAGCTATTAGAGTCTGAGCGTTCACGGAAACGCGTCGCTGCCTCCACGCTAGAAGTGGAACTAGTACTTTTACGTCGCTCCGACCGACAGTCACTCATGTCCACCACCCAGGACGCAATTCCTGGCACTGGTTTGCGTGCTTTTGATTTGACACGAAGCTCTACCCCTTCGACTTCTGCCTCGTCATCCTCATCGTCGTCCTCGTCATGAAGCGGACGAGTGTGTGCAAAATCGAGCGAAGAAAAGCCACCTGATACAATGGGACAGGTATCGTTCCGCCGTTTAATGCTCGGACTCTCACACTGCTTAAGCCGAAAGTCTTCTATGGAGGCACCGCCTGAAACAATTGGATTTGCTTCATCGCATTTAGATGTGCGCTTAGGTGTGCGCGGCAGGGGTACTGGGGAATCGGTGGCATCGCTACAATAGGCCCCGGAGTCCCGATGATGTGACAGCGATGAGGAGAGTGTGTAGTCACGATGTATGGAGGAGTTATTGCTGCTGTTGGACACGTGCTCAATGTGTACTATTGAGTTATGAGGCGTATCTGGGGCGTGGGCAGCCGCCAACTGTGGTTGACGCAACAAGCCACCAGTACGCGGCTCATGCTCTGACCACACCAGGCTCGGCGCCGGACTGGAGGATGAATAATCCGTAGTGTAGCTGAGATCGCTGTGGGCCTGCCCATGAGGCATTGAATGTGGCGTATGCCCATGGTGTGGCGCAAATTTTGGACTAGTGCCCAAAGGATGCACACTGAAATTGTGGGCATTGTGCTGAAAGCTGTAAGGAACCGGTCTAGGACGTTCCTCCATCTCGCGTCGCATCTTAACGCTCAGTGAGGAATCAGAAGAATCAGCATCTGCCGCCAATGAAACCGATGCTTCTGTTACATCAGTATCTTTGGCATCCTTTGATGCCGGCAGCTGTTGCTCCCGCTTCCACAGTTTCTCTTCATCTGATAAGTTGTTAGTAGACTCCAATTGCTCTTTTTGCGGCGACTCGGCCCCAGAGTGTGAGCTTGAGCTGGAATTAGTGCGTGAATAGGGAAGATGCTGTGGAGGAGGAGACGATTCCATTTTAGCACCACTTTTGCACTTGGCAAATGCTTTATGAAACTCTTCTAGCTGTTTTGTGGGCGATTCTTCAAGTGTGTCCAGCTCTGTTGACTCGCCGGCCGGCGGCGCATTCATTTCCACATCCTGTGCCTGCCCATCAAGACTGGGAAAGGAGAGAACCTCATCCTCATCGCGCAGCGATGAAGCATCTATAAAACAGGCACTAGTGCCGGATGTTGAAAGCGGCTGCTCACGTTTTTCAAACTCACGCAAAAGGGAATTGGCGCTGATGCCCTTAAACAGGGAGCTGGTGTCCGCGCCAGCTCCAGTGGAAGAAGTACGCTGGCGTTCGAAGGGTTCGCTTTCATTCAATTGATAACTTGTTGAGGGCTGTTCGATCTTATCGAGCGATCGCTGCACGTTCATGTTCGTTGAAGTTGGGTACACCGATTCCCAAGACCCTGTCTCTGTGGAGACTGTGGAGGTCTCCATACACACTATTTCCTCGTTCTGACGCTGCTTTTCCTCCTTCGATGGGGGTTTGACCTTGATACCCTCGTAGTTTTTATTGTCCAAAGCACCGCTGTGACTACTACTGTTGCCCGGAGCTTCTAGAGCCGCAGCTCCATTACACTCGGGACTAGAGACTGGCGAGAAAGTATCACGCTCTGCATCGCCGATATCCGCTTCGCATGTTTTGGTCGACGCGGACCCGTTGCTATGATGGCGTGCTGCAGTGGACGTTCTTCTAATATCTTCGCTATACTGTGGCGCCGAAGAGCTGGACGTAGATGATGCACTGGCGGCGGCCAGAGGGCTGCAGGCGCTGCTGTTGTTGCTGCTTGTGCTGGTACTATTCGTGAGATTCGAGTAGTTCGAGTTGTTGGGAGAGGCATCGACCTGTTGGTCCAATGACCTGCCGGTTGTGTAGGCGGCTCTCGACGATGTCGAAGCTTGTGGTTGTGTCGACGCCAATACTACCCGTGCCCCTATTGGTGTGCTGCTGTTGGCGTCCATTGCTTCCGCTGGGAGGGCTTCAGCCTTAGGTTTGCCGCATCGGCGTTTTTCCGGTCTGTTCCGTTGGCTGGTTTCGCTTCGCCAACGTCACGTAGGGCTGAAGTTTGGTTTGAATACCAAGTGGCTGCCACTTCCACAGACTCTGCACCTGCCACTAGTACAATCAATACCCCTGCCCCTGTTGCAGCAACTGTCTTGAAACGTAGTCGCTGTCTGTTTAAGGTCGCTGGCTACTGCCTCTACATGGCCACATGCTGCATTCCTGCAACCACTTGCAGACAGGGTTCGATGTTACAGACGCGGGCGTCGACGTTGGCGTGGGCCTGTCAACGCACGTATCTCGTAGATACTTTTTGTTGCCGTCCCAACAAGTCCACGAAATCGATACGAGCCAGTGCCGTCTCTGTTGCCTGTTTGTTTAGTCCGTGGTTGTCTGCCTCCTCTTCTTTAATTTTGTTTTTTGTTTTGCCTGCCACTCGGTTGCCTTGGGCAAATTTAGTTGCAACTTTGCGCTGCGTATCTGTATCTGACAGCTGCACTCGTTCCCTTTGTGTTTATGTGCTAATGATGCACAACTGCGAGACTTTTGCTGCTCTGCCACACTGCCACTTCCCTCGCTGTTCGCTTTGTTTGGATTGTTTGTTTGCTTTCTTGCTTTCGATTCGTTTTCGTTTTCTTTCGCTGAGTCTGCCAAAGTTCGCACAACGTCTGATGCCCTCGTTGTTCACTTCTTTGCTATTTCTACTGCGGCTACTCCTGCTGATTTATTGCCAATTGTGCCAATTGTTGATGTTGTTGCTGTTTTACAATTTAAGCTGCAAATAAAAAAGTGTAAGCGACATGAATTATTTTGGCACGGCAACAATTACAAATGGGATCTTAAAATGCTAGCAATCGTTTTAACGTTAATGTTCCCGCTTTTCCCTCCATTGCACATGGATGAAGACAGAAAATTACTTAAATGCTGTCATACTCATAAAACACGTGTGCATACTTATTTTTTAATTGTTTAGAGTTACTTTGAAGTAAACAAGTTTTTTATATGGTATCCAGAAAGAGATGCACTTGCTAATCAGCACGACGAGCGGAATAGATAGAGGCGTGTCTGTCAGATCGGTAACTCCTTGTAACATCGAGATCTTCTGAAGGTTCGTTCTTCTACAAGTTCGTAATCTTTAATTGACGATCAATTTATAAAGCTTAATAGGACACCTCGACGTTTCTTACAATAGTTATATTTTGAATGTGAATTCTTTTCTACATGGTTAAGATTTCTATTCTGGCATTATTATGTTATTTAAAGTAATAGGTTTTAATTTGTTTAGTGCAAATAGTAGAGAAAGAAAAATATTAGTTCATAATTCTTTGCTCGCTTTTCTTTTCCACATTTTATAAAATAAATAAAAAAAATAAATACATGTGATATTCTTATGACGTCTGATCTGGCCAATTACTTGGTTTAAATAAACGCTAATACCTTATATAGTAGATGTACCTGAAAACAAAACCAAATTTCTTTTTTGTGCCTAATAATGGAACTGGTTCAAGGCATGGCCAGCCCACGTTCCGCCTGAAAGCGTCCTCTAGCCAGATTGGCCAAAACTACGTAATTACAATTAATCATCTATTGCCACATTTAAATGTGATTATTGAGTGCCCACTAAATTGCGTCAATTGGCCGCCCTTGCCCCCGCTGTACACCTTTCCGACAACCCAACCACAATAATAAAAATAATAACAAAAAAAAAAAAAACAACAGACAGACTGACCCTCGCGCTGCAATGGAGCGCGTCTGCTTCCTTCACGCCACATGAAAAACACAAACATATAGAATTTCAATTTGTTTAGGAGGAAGCAAGTGCATAAATGTGGGCGCATCATCATTTGAAATTTTATATGGGGAAATGTGCATTTGTGAGTTTGTCACCAGAGCTAAAAGCTTTTGCTTTATTATTCTTTTTACGGTGCGAGTGCCTTGGAATTCAGTGAACTTGAGCGTAAATAATGAAGTATGTATGTATTTATGTAGTACCTATAATTTTAAATATTTACAGAGTTCATGTTAAAAAGGGTTCGAGAGGTTTGAGTACCCAACGCATTGTGTTACTTTACACAATTCAGTGCCAAAGCATGCATACATTAATTTTTTCTTTCCTGTTTTTACGCTTTTTCCTAGAGCTTTATTAATTTGCATACAAAGGTGCGACGTTTGCAATGAAATGAAAGCGATCTAAGTATGAAAATTAATACGTTCTAAAAATATATATACTATATAAGTATGTAGTATATGAAAAAAATAAACAGTTAATCATGCAAATCGTGTTCGACTAGTATAGCAACAACATCAACAGCAGTAACAAAGAAATCCAACGTCGAATAAATCACTGAGCGAAACAATAACCAAGTATCCAAGGGGCATACGACCTGTAAAACTTTGTCATATCGGATTTAAAAGAAGAAGAACGCTTCGGCAGTGAAGTTTGGGCATTTTCTCTGCCCTTACAAGTTCTGATATCAACTTGGAAGCAGTCAGTCAAGTTGGGTGCGGTTCATTCAACTAATCGAAAGAAAGGCCGGTTCTCTTCCATATGAGAGTGTCTGTTGCAATATAAGCAGCCACAGAAGCAATCAAAACAGTTGCAATATCCAATGCATGATAAATGCACATCGATTATGTAATTTATGGTTTATTGCACGATATGCATGTAAAGACAACCAATTGCAATGCCAACATCTGCAAAAACAACAACAGTAACAGCAATAAATACAAGAAACATTTCGTCACCGACGCTTTAATACCTTTTTGCAAGCACCACGTTTCTCCGTATATTGTTTGTACAGAGGAACGGTGCTTATTCTACAAGTTTTTACAATCTTTTTTCTCCATAATTCCTGATATACATAGAAGTCCTCTGTAATCAAATTACAGAATTAAGTTTTTTTGTAAATAACTTTATAAACAGAAACATAATTTGCTTATGAACATTGTTGTGTTGAAAAAACGTTATAGACAGAAAAATACTTCGTTAATCCCGAACATTCTTATCGGACCTATTTATGTGAACAAAAAATTTTTATATGTAAGACCGACATAGAGACGATTTTTCATTTGTTTCATACAGTCGTGTCCGAACGAGCTAACAAATAAAGCTTTAAAATAGGCATAAAAACGTTAAGTGGAAAAAGATTATTTATACAAATAATATATAGAATATATAATATTAATGGTGTTCTGCGAAACATTTTTATCTTTTAGCAGACATGAGTAACACCTTTTGCTGCAGGGTATAAAAAATAGCACCATAATCAAAAAAAGGCAAATTCATTTGTAACTCGATAATTGCACGTTCGGCAGTAGCTATAAAAAAAAAACAACAAATATAATCAACAACAAAATGCTGTGCGAGCTTTAGACTTATAGACCTGTCCGCTGCACGACGTAACTACCATAAAAGGTAAACAGCAATATATTTTAATTTTCCGCGCATATGTTTTGACTATTGCAAAAAAAAATTCGAAAAATGTAGAAGAGTATTTTCGTGTGTGATTAACAACAAATCAGGGACAGATAAAAACTGGCAATGAAAACATTATATGAGCAAGCATCGGAGTTGTACAATTATCATTCTATTTTGATTTTAATTTAAAGTTTTAGAGACAAAATGCAAGAAAATGCTATATATTGATCTATTTTTATTTACTATTACAACATATATCGACATTGACGAATGAATTTTATAATACCTTCCTTTTCTAGGAATAATGTTTAATAGTTCGGTATATAAGATATGATACATCGTCCATCTGTATAAAATGACTTTACCGGACGAAGTAAAAATTACAACTATTACGCTATAGAAGAAAACCCGTAATGAAACTGATTTTTTTCTCTTTAAGAAATACATTAGGATTGAGGACTCCAGCTTCATAAAGAACCTGCCGGTAACTGAACGCAAAAATATCATTGCCGTGAATAGGTTAAATATTTTTTATAGCGAAACCTGCGATAATTTAATTTATTTAAAGATAAAATGCCTAAAAATAACAATGAAGCAAATGTAGTCTAATATTTAATGAAGGCACTTAAATCTGAAGTTCTATCAATTTGAATCTTAAGCATCGGGGCTGAAAAGATCGCGCAAAGCCACACATCAATCGCTAGAGTACTATTTAATATTTATTATTAAAATAAAATCATCAGCGTAAATCGTTAAACAAAGGTCGTGCCACCACTCGCATGAGTAATACGTTCTGCCTATTTGAATGGCACAGCATCTGGGCAAGACCAAGAGCAAACAAGATATAAAAAGCCGATAAAATGATCAACACACACACATCGTTCGAATGCTGCCAAATATGGGCGTAACAAGTTGGTGCGATTACGTTGACGATGACTCGCATGCTAAAGCGTGTTATATGCAAAGTTGTTGTATAAAAAATACATTAGAATCGAATACATATTGTAAATTAATAAGAAAACAATGCCATGCACAGGGAAGTGTGGGCACGGAATACAAAACAAAGACCCCATGGCTGGGACACGAGAAACATCGAACCGATAAAAAGAAAAGGAATTTTAGTTAATTTAGAACTTACAGAGAGACCGACCCAGAGCAGTCATTGCCATATGTATACATATTATAGGTATACATACATAATTATATAAAACGTCATTTACCACATTAATATTGTTATACAATAATTTTATAATAATATACGCAACGAATTGCAAAAATAATAATAATAAGCTAAGCCACAGCAAATTGCCAGACGCAGCGTGCGCTGAATGTCAACCACCGAGAGCCACCACAGCTCTTCACCACCGCACCGATCAGCCAAACCAGTTGAAAGCTCTCAAGTGGCCAGCGGGACGGTCCGTTGATGGGCTGCTTGACCAGACCCAGACCGATAAAGAAAGAGGGAGAAGTGACAGACGATAAGTGTATAAATGCGGCTACATTGTTGTCAGCCACAACAGCAACAAACGGCAATAATAATAATGGCCTGTATTTATAGGAAACTCGTTGAATAATTGCGGCCAGCGTTTATCGTTTGCACATCATTGACAAGAGCAGGGAGTAAAAAATCAAAACGGACACATCCCCCAACCCGATTTAGTCCACAAAATAGAAATAAATATATGATTGTATATATCGGCCATAGTGTTATACAAATTGCGAACAACAGCAAACTTTAAACGCCACACCGTGCCGTGTGATTAAGCAAACATTATATACATAGTTATAAGCAACATTACTCATTTGATGGGACTTTTCATGAGCCACTCATAACAGCCTTCAGTCCATATCAGACAATTGCATTTGCAAAAATGATTTTAAAAAATATGTGCATGTGTATATTGTTTTATGATATATGTTATAAGGTATGGTCGCAGAATAAAACTATAAATTTAAATTTGTTCACACTTTTTAGTGTTGCTGATCTTTGTTTGGCAAGCTTTATATTATTATCAGTGTTTAGAAATTTCAAGGGTTTCTGTTAATTATATAATATTACTAACAAAACTCTCATGGCTTCCCAATATTAAAGCCGAAAAGGGCCGATAAACTTTGAGCTTCATAGATTTTTTATGCTGTTTTTTACAGACGTTCCTGCAGGAATTTTCACTCTCTTTCTTTCAAATATATATGTATACAGAACCTCGGTATACCAACCACTTAATAAACTCATCCACAAAGTGACCTTCTAATAGCTATACATAGTTAAGAACTGTTTCGAAAGTAAACCAATTCTCTACCAAGAGGAATTGAAATGAAGATAAGACATAAAAATATGCATTGATATGAAATTATGG